GCCCCATCCCTGGCAACATTCAAGGACCACTTGGATGGGGCCCTGAGAAACCTGGTCAGGTTGGAACAAGATGATTTTAAGGTCCCTCCCAAGTCAAACCATTCAAGGATTCCATCATTCCATGATCCCCATCCCCACTGCCGAGTGACACCACAACTCCTGTGACATCACAGCTTCCAGAGCTGTGCCCGTGTTCCATGGGGAACTTCCAGGGCCCGGCGACGAGCACAACGCAGCCATTCCCCTGCTGCCAGCGATCTGTGAGCAGCTCACAGCGCACCCTCGACTGGTGATCCCAAAAAGACTTGTCAGTCCTGGACTCTCCCTCCTGTCTGGATCTTAGCATCCATCCCAGCAGGATGGGCAACCTCCTCCCAGTGAAGGTACAGTGCCAATCCATGGAGGTGGGAAACCCCTGTCTTCCCAGGAAGGCTGGAGCTCGGTGGGGCTGGTGTGGGACAGGGACCCCTCTCTGAGGTTGTGCTCCCTTACACAGACTGCCGGAGATACGGAGGAAGAGATGGATGTGGATGTTGTGGTGGATACCGAGATGATGGAGGTGGACATCCAAGTGTTTGAAGAACAGATGGAAGTGGATGAGGTGGAGGAGATCGAGGAGATGGATGTGGACCATCCAGATGAGGAGGAGGACATGGTGCTGGGATGAGGACAGTCCCCCAGCAGCATGACAGGCACGTACTGGCCATGCCCTACCCCGGGGTCACCTGCTGGGTGTGCCAGGCTGGGGGCACAGGGAACACCCAGCAGGGCCCGACTGCACTGACCGTGCCCTTGCTTTTCTTCCAGGACTGACGGACCTGCCGGCCTTGGCATCGGCCACTTGTACATATGTTTTTGACTTTGTTCCTGTTTGTACTGTAAATACGTTTTCTACTGTTCACTTTTTAAGAAGCTTTTTGTTTTTATACGAAGATAGTTTAAGAAGATAGATTTTTAAGTAAGAAGATAGTTTTTTATTGTAGATTATAGTTTTTTTAAGAAGATAAGTTTCCTTTTTAAGAAGATAGCTTTTTCTTAAGAAGATAGTTGTTTTATTTAGAAGATAGTTGTTTTTGTTAAGAATATATTTTTATTAAAAAGACAATTGTTTTTAATAAGGAGATGTTTGTTGATATTAAGACTGTTGTCATCAAGAAGACTGTCGTTTCTTTGAAGAAGAGTACTGGTTTTATTAAGAAAATTCTGAAAATGTCAATAAATTCTGGACACATGTCTTATATGTTGTTGTTTCATTGTCCTTCTGTAAATACATTTCAAAGATTCTTGTCACTACATGGGCCCTTAGAATGTGCCCTCTCTGCCCAGACCCCCCCGTGTCCTGGGCTCATCCCCAGCCCTGGGGGCAGCAGGGCAGGGGGGGTTGTGCCGCTCTGCTGCGCTCTCAGGAGACCCCACCTGCAGTGCGGCCTCCAGCTCTGGGGTCCCCGACACAACAAGGCCAGGGAACTGCTGCAGCAAGGCCACACCAGGCCAACAAGGGGCTCAGGGACCTCGAGCACCTCCCCTCTGCACACAGGCTGGCAAAGTTGGGGCTCTTCAGCCTGGACAAGAGAAGGTTGTGTGGAGACCTGGGAGAAACCTTCCCGTCTGGGAAGGGGCCTCCAAGGAAGCCGGAGGGTGACTCTTGGTCAGCAACTGTAGTGACAGGACAAGGGGTTCAAACTGACAGAGGGGAGGGTTAGATTTGATGTTAGGAAAATATTGTTTCCTGTGAGGGTGGTGAGGCCCTGGCAGGGGCTGTGCAGAGAGGCTGTGGATGCCCCATCCCTGGCAACATTCAAGGTCCACTTGGATGGGGCCCTGAGCAACCTGGTCAGGTTGGAACAAGATGATTTTAAGGTCCCTCCCAAGCCAAACCATTCAAGGATTCCATCATTCCATGATCCCCATCCCCACTGCTGAGCGGCCCCACAACTCCTGTGACATCACAGCTGCCAGAGCTGTGCCCGTGTTCCATGTGGAACTGCCAGGGCCCGACGACGAGCACAACGCAGCCATTCCCCTGCTGCCAGCGATCTGTGAGCAGCTCCCAGGGAACTCTCATCAGGTGATTTCTACAAGACTTGTCAGTCCTGGACTCTCCCTGCTGTCTGGAGCTCAGCATCCATCCCAGCAGGATGGGCAACCTCCTCCCACTGAAGGTACAGTGTCAATCCATGCAGGTGGGAAACCCCTGTCTTCCCAGGAAGGCTGGAGCTCTGTGGGGCTGGTGTGGGACAGGGACCCCTCTCTGAGCTTGTGCTCCCTTACACAGACTGCCAGAGATACCGAGGAACAGATGGACGTGGACGTTGTGGTGGATGCAGAGGAGATGATGGAGGTGGACACACAAGAGATTGAAGAACAGATGGAAGTCGATGAGGTGGAGGAGATCGAGGAGATGGATGTGGACCATCAAGATGAGGAGGAGGACATGGTGCTGGGATGAGGACAGTCCCCCAGCAGCACGACAGGCACGTCCTGGCCATGCCCTGCCCCGGGGTCACCTGCTGGGTGTGCCAGGCTGGGGGCACAGGGAACACCCAGCAGGGCCCGACTGCACTGACCGTGCCCTTGCTTTTCTTCCAGGACTGACGGACACACTGGCCATGGCATCGGCCACCTGTACATATGTTATTCACTTTTTTCTGTAAATACGTTTTCTATTGTTCACTTTTTAAGAAGATTGTAGTTTGTATAGAGAAGATAGTTTAAGAAGATAGATTTTTTATAAGAAGATAGTTTTTTGATAAGACAATAGCTTTTTTTAGAAGATAAGTTTTCTTTTAAAGAAGATAGATTTTTATTTAAGAAGATAGTTTTTTAAGAAGATAAGGTTTCTTTTTAAGAAGATAGATTTTACTAAGAAGATAGTTGCTTTATTTAGAAGATAGTTGTTTTTATTAAGAAGATATTTTTATGAAGATAGTTGTTTTACTAAGAAGATACTTGTTTTTATTGAGAAGATGGTTGTTGATATTAAAATTGTTGTCATCAAGAAGACTGTTGTTTCTATGAAGAAGAGTGCTGGATTTAATAAGAAAATTCTGAAAACATCAATAAATTCAGGATACATGTCTTATCTGTTGTCGTTTTATTGTCCTTCTGTAAATACATTTCAAAGACTGTTGTTGTTCCATGGGCCCTTAGAATGTGCCCTCTCAGCCCAGACCCCCCCCGTGTCCTGGGCTCATCCCCAGCCCTGGGGGCAGCAGGGCAGGGGGGGTTGTGCCGCTCTGCTGCGCTCTCAGGAGACCCCACCTGCAGTGCGGCCTCCAGCCCTGGGGTCCCCGACACAACAAGGCCAGGGAACTGCTGCAGCAAGGCCACACCAGGCCAACAAGGGGCTCAGGGACCTCGAGCATCTCCCCTCTGCACACAGGCTGGCAAAGTTGGGGCTCTTCAGCCTGGACAAGAGAAGGTTGTGTGGAGACCTGGGAGAAACCTTCCCGTCTGGGAAGGGGCCTCCAAGGAAGCCAGAGGGTGACTCTTGGTCAGCAACTGTAGTGACAGGACAAGGGCTTCAAACTGACACAGGGGAGGGTTAGATTTGATGTTAGGAAAACATTGTTTCCTGTGAGGGTGGTGAGGCCCTGGCAGGGGCTGTGCAGAGAGGCTGTGGCTGCCCCATCCCTGGCAACATTCAAGGTCCACTTGGCCGTGGCCCTGAGCAACTTGGTCAGGTTGGAACAAGATGATTTGTAGGGTCTGTCCCAAGCCAAACCATTCAAGGATTCCATCATTCCATGATCCCTGCACTGCCGAGTGGCCCTGGTCCTCCTGTGACATCACAGCTGCCAGAGCTGTGCCCGTGTTCCATGTGGAACTGCCAGGGCCCGGCGACGAGCACAACGCAGCCATTCCCCTGCTGCCAGCGAACCGTCAGCAGCTCGCAGCGAACCCTTGTCACCTGGTCCAAGACCACCCTTCACCCTGCTCCCATTGGAGTGTTTTCAGGTGATCCCTGCTCTGTCCGTCAGTCCTGACTCTGCCTGCAGTCGGGTCTTGTGATCCATCCCAGCAGGATGGGCAACCTCCTCCCCGTGAAGGTACAGTGCCATTCCATGGAGGTGGGAACCCCCTGACTGCCCAGGAGGGCTGGAGCTCAGTGGGGCTGGTGTGGGACAGAGACCCCTCTCTGAGGTTGTTCTCCCTGCTGCAGGCTCAGAGAGACAGCGAAGAAGAGATGGAGGTGGACCCTCAGGCAGATATGGATGAGATGATGGATGTGGATGTTGAAGAGAGAGTTGAAGAGATGGAGGTGGAGATGGAAGCTGATGTGGAAGAGATGGAAGTAGATCAGGAAGATGAGGTGGAAGACATGATCTTGGGATAAGGACACAGCACCCTATCATCAGCAGGTGAGGCCCGTCCTGGCCGTGCCCTGCCCCGGGGACAGCGGGTCACCTGCCGCCAGGCTGGGGCTGGGCTGGGGGGCCCCGCTCAGGGACACGGTGCCCCGTGCCCTGGATTGTGGCGGCACAACCCCCAGCCCCGGCCTGCCCTGCGCCTGCTTTGGGCCACACAAGCCCCGTGCCAGCGCCTGGGGCCCGGCTCCCATCCCCAGCCGGGCTCAGGCCTGGCGCCAGAGTCCCGCGGGGCCCAGCGTGGGCCAGGCTGGGGGCACAGGGAACGGCCAGCAGGGCCCGACTGCACTGACCGTGCCCTGGCTTTTCTTGCAGGACTGACGGACCTGCCGGCCATGGAATTGGCCACTCTGTACATAGGCTTTGCAAGGTACTTCCTGGTTTTTTGTACATACGTTCTACATTTTTGATATTTTAAGAAAATATTTGTTTCTATAAAGAAGATAGTTATTTTAATAAGAAATAGATTTTTTTATGAGAAGATAGATTAATTAAGAAGATAATTTCTTATAAGAAGATAGTTTATTAAGAAGATAGTTTTTTATATGAAGATAGTTTTTTAAGAAGATACTTTTTTATTAAAAAGATTGTTGTTTAATAAGAAGATAGCTGTTTTTAATAAGAAGATAGTTGTTTTTTAAGAAGATAGAAGACTTTTTTTTATTAGGAAGATTGTTTTTTATATAAAGAAAAGTTTTTATAAAGAACACAACTGGTTTTATAAGGAAGATTTTTGGTTTTACTGAGAAGATTCTTGTTTATATAAAGACTTTTTACTGTAAATCCATTCTGTATAGCTGTTTACTGTGTTGTTGTTTTATTGTCCTTGTGTAACTGCGTTGTCTGGGGGTGCTGGCACGGCCCCCCCGGGCTGGGGGTACCTGTGCCCAGAGGGGTCCCCCTTGGGAAGGTGGCGGCCCTGGGCACTGCTGGTGTTGCTGGGCTGGGGCAGAGCGGTGGCCCCAAGAGCAAAGCTGTCCCCAGCACACAGGGGGGTCTGACATGAGCGGCCCCTGCAGAGCTGCCCCAAAGCAGGCAGGAAAGCTCCTGCTGCCCTTCCTGCTGCAGCCAAAGGGACTGGTGGGGCGAGAGCCGGGATCAGGCCCCAGGGAGGCCAAATGCCAAGGGATGCCCCGAAGGCCATGGCAGCCTTGGGAATGGCTGGAGGCAGGATGTGGGGAGAAGGTTTTGGAACTGGAGGGGCTGATGTTTAAGGCTTTGAAGCTCCAAGCACTCCAGGCTTTGTTTCCCATCCCCATGGCATTGCCTTTGGCCGTGGAAGAGCCCAAAGGCCAGTGAGGGATCCTTGCCCTGCCCCGATTCCTGCTGCTGGCAGCGGGCACGGGCCCATGTCCCCCACTCGGGGGGACACGTGGAGTGGGCAGCACAGGCTGTGTTGGGGAGAACCCGGGGGCCTTTGGTGTGAGGGTGCTGGTGGTGGGGTGCCATGGGCCCCATGGGTGCAGGGTCCTGGAGGGGGTGCAGGGTGTGGGAGCCGTGGGTGCTGCAGAGAGTGCCGGGGGATGCGATGCTGGGAGGGGCAGGGCTGGGGGATCCCGGGGCTGTGGGAGCAGGGAGTGCGCAAGGGGGAGTTGCTGGATACTCATGAACCTCAGCTCAGCCCTTTTCTTGTTAGAAAAAAAGGGAGAAAAATACAAAGCTTTAAAGAAAGAGAAAATAAGTCTCTATTTGAGTATCAAGAATTCAGGGGGAAAAATGATCCAGGTGTCCTCAGGTCCGTTGCAAAGAGCAAAAGACAGGGACAATCAATGCAGGTTCCTATTGGCTACGAAAGCCAGAGGAAAGCTGGAGACAGTGTTCAGCAGGGCCTGGGGAGAGGAGAAGGGGCGATGGCTTCACACTGAAGGAGGTGGATTTAGGTGTGATTTGCTTTAGGGAGGTTATATTTAGCAAGGAGGGTGTTGAGGCCCTGGCACAGGTTGTGCAGAGAGGTTGAGGATGCCCCATCCCTGGGAACATTCAAGGCTATGTTGGACGGGGCCCTGAGTAACCTGGTGTGGTGGAAGGTTGACCAGGTTGGAACAAGATGATTTTTCGTGTCCCTGCCAAGCCAAACCATTCAAGGATTTGAGCATTTGACAATCCCAATCTCCCACTGCGGAGTGGCCCTGGACCTCCTGTGACATCGCAGCTGCCAGAGCTGTGCCCGTGTTCCATGTGGAACTGCCAGGGCCCAGCGACGAGCACAACACAGCCATTCCCCTGCTGCCAGCGAACCGTCAGCAGCTCGCAGCGCAGGTGGTCTGAGACCACCCTTCACCCTGCTCCCAGTGGAGTGTTTTCAGGTGATCCCTGCTCTGTCCGTCAGTCCTGACTCTGCCTGCAGTCTGGGTCTTGTGATCCACCCCAGCAGGATGGGCAACCTCCTCCCAGTGAAGGTACAGTGCCAATCCATAGAGGTGGGAACCCCCTGACTGCCCGGGTGGGCAGGAGCTCAGTGGGGCTGGGGTGGGACAGGACCCCCTCTCTGAGGTTGTGCTCCCTGCTGCAGGCTGAGAGAGACAGCGAAGAGCCAATGGAAGTGGACATGGCGAGAGATCTAAAAGACGATGTAGAGGAGATGGAGGTGGACATGAAAGAGGATGTAGAAGAGGAGATGGAAGTAGAGGAGGAAGGCGAGAAGGAGGAGGCCATGATCCTTGGATAAGGACACCCCAGCCCATCAGCAGGTCAGGCACGTCCTGGCCATGCCCTGCCCCGGGGTCACCTGCTGGGTGTGCCAGGCTGGGGGCACAGGGAACACCCAGCAGGGCCCGACTGCACTGACCGTGCCCTTGCTTTTCTTGCAGGACTGACGGACCTGCCGGCCATGGCATTGGCCCCTCTGTACATATGTTTTTCATTTTTTTCTGTAAATATGTTTTACATTGTTCACTTTTTAAGATTGTAGTTCTAATAGAGAAGATAGTTTAAGATGATAGATTTCTAATAAGAAGATAGTTTTTTGATAATAGTTTTTTTAAGAAGATAAGGTTTTATTTAAAGAAGATAATGTTTTATTTAAGAAGATAGTTTTTTATTAAGAAGGTAGTTTTTTTAAGAAGATAAGGTTTCCTTTTAAGAAGATAGTTTTTTATTAAGAAGATTTTTTTTTATTTAAAAGATTTTTGTTTTTATTAAGAAGATATTTTTATTAAGAAGATAATTGTTTTTATTAAGAAGATGGTTGTTCATGTTAAGACTGTTGTCATCAAGAAGACTGTTGCTTCTGTTAAGAAGAATGTTGGATTT